GCGAGGGAATTCCTGGAAGCTTGGTGTTCAGACAAGGCAGCCATCAACAGGCACATAAACAGCATCTACACACTATTCAAAAGAGACAAAGGGCCAGAAGATCACCTCACCAGCAATCATGACCCAGATAAGCAGAGGTTACCACCAGGCACACAACCAAGCAACAAACACATGCCAGTAATCATGACCCAGATAAGCAGAGGTTACCACCAGGCACACAACCAAGCAACAAACACATGCCAGTAATCATGACCCAGATAAGCAGAGGTTACCACCAGGCACACAACCAAGCAACAAACACATGCCAGTAATCATGACCCAGATAAGCAGAGGTTACCACCAGGCACACAACCAAGCAGCAAACACATGCCAGTCAAGGAACTACCAGAGGAGCAAAGCAAACCCCCCCACCCCCACCAGCACTGGCACAGCAGGCCACAGCACATAAACAGAGAGCAAATCCCATCCCATTCTAGCACTGAAGATGTTACCTAGCCGGGTAATGAAGCGTTTGCAAGAAAAGAACCAAGCTCAGAGAACCCCAAAGACTCCAGAGTTCAACCCCGAGCTACACATATTCACCTCTATTGGTAAAGGAAAAGGCAAGAGAATTACAAAGACTTTTGATTGGGTGGGCCTAACAAATTATGGGCAGACGTTCAAAGCATGAGTGTATCAAGCCAACTCATTTGTTTATGGAAGAATGGGTATGATGGCCAGGAAGCGAGTTCCAAATTGTGGAAGGAAGTTGCCATGGTTGCAGGCTGTCCCTTCTGTATTTCAGCTGAATATTTCCTATAATTCCATGTTCCTCTATTCCAGTCCCCCATTAGCAGCACCAAGTCCTTTCTTGATGCTGTGTTTAGCAATTCTTGCTATTTGCCGTAAGTGTCTTCGGTATCTTCCTTTATGACATTGGCAGAAATGCCATACAATTATATAACACTGATGTTCATTAGATAGCCATTAATTCAAACAGAATTCTGTTGTTTATTGGGTATAGCTGAGCACGTATTTGGTGATATCCTTTTTGAATAACTTTGACATGTCATTCCTTTATATAATCTCCTGTCCTGAATAGTATATTACATACTACCATTCTGTCCACTAACTTTATTTCTAAAAAATCAACCGTGTTATGCTTTGTTTCAACTTTGACCATTTCACGTTATTTTTGGTTCATGCATCTCCCATTCCCTGTTCCAACTGGATATGTCTGTGCAGAGCTGGGCACTTCTCTTTCAACACTCACCCCCCAGTGACCCAGCTGCCTTCCAATTACCTCCCTCCCGTGGCCTGGCCACGTTTTCACCTCCAGGTCCCCTGTGCTTTCTGACCTGGGAGGTCTCCACATCTGTTACCCAAACTTGTCTTAATGGTACAATGACACCCATCCCATTTTCTTGGCGACTGTTACAATTTAGAGGAGCTTTGCCACTCTCATCCCAGGTTGGATTTTGGATTTTTTCCCCCTCAGGTGGGCTGTCTTTCCTCGCATCTGCAGAGTCCACCTGTCCTCAGCCCCACCGTGGAGTGCCCTCGGCTGCACCCCTCTCCTTCTGACTTAACCACTAATGGAGACCCTACCAGGATCTCCTGTTGCTGTCAAGGTCGCTCTCAGGGTCATTAAAGCTGTAAAAGAAAAGGGTGGCAGGGCTAATTCCTTGGAAAAGAGAAATAACATTCACAACCTTCTTGGTAAGTCAGACGACTTGGCTGAAAATAAGAGCCAATGACCCTGAACGGAATCAGGTACACGTATCCGCTTGATAAGCATAAAGGTTTGGTAATATTGCTTGTGGAAAAGGCCTCAGAACAGGAGCTAATTACAAACTGAGTATGAGTCCACTGTGTGATGGGGACACCCAAAAGCAGATGAAATCTTAGGCCACATCAACACAAATATAACTTCCAAATCACCAGAACTAGTGGCGCGATTTCAGCCAGACTCTACTCAAGTGAATCTGGAGTTCTGTACACCACACTTTAGGAACAATTTAGGCAAACTGGAACAGAGAGGGACAATGAGGATGATCAAAGGTCTAGAAATTAAGTTCTGCAAAGAGAGACTGAAGCAGCTGGACACGTCTTTTTGAGAAAAGAGAACTAGAGGGAAAATGCTGGCATTCTTCAAAAATACCTGAATGGATTATGCACAGATCAAAATCTGTTCTCTCTCACTCCAGAGGGCAGGATGGGGAATAAAGTAGTTAAGTTCCAGGAAAGCAGATGCCCATTCAATCTGATAAAAACCTTTCTGACTGCAAGAGCAGCTTAACAGCGGAAGCCCCGAGTCAAGCAGGCGGGGAGTTTCCCTTCCGTGGGGACGCCGCGGCTGGACTCCGGCAGCCTCCCATCGGAGGTGCTTCGGTTCTCATTCCTGCCCCAAGCCAAGCGTTGGATTCGGTGGCCTTCCGGCGTTAGGAGTCTATGACTGAACTTCTGTGCATTAATGGCAACAAAACGCATTGGCCAAATCACAAGACATGAAAGAGATTAACTGCACCACAACACATACTTTTCCAGCGGGTAGCAGTCTTGCGCTCACTGAAACAGAGAAGACTGCAACATTTCTGACCTGACCCTTCTGGAGAAACATGGTGCCCTTGTGAATTCCTAGCCTGGGAAAGGTGGGCAGGGCAGCAGCTTTTAACGACTCAGGGACTCCGGTCAATTTTGCTTCAGCCAGACAACAGCCCATCCCTGGGTTTGACCCTCTGAGAAGGGGTCATTTCCCGTGGCTGCAAAGCCACAGTTGGGCTTCTTAGCCCCTGGGTCGTTTCCCTGCACCACCTGCTCTTTCAGGGAGCTGCCCTGCGCTCTCTCTGCCGCCCAGAGAGTTCCAGCGAGCGTCCTGTCAGCAGACCAGGCTGCCCCCGGAGCTGCCCTTTGTCGGCTGGGTGGCCCTCCGTCAGAGATGCTGTAGTGGGCCCTGCGCTGCACCACCTCAAGCTATTCAAGCAAACTGGAGAGCGAGGGGAGCCGGGTCTGCAACGAAACGCATCTGCTCCGGTCTGGGGTAGAGGAGGGAAGCAGCATGCAGAACCAAGGTTGGGAGCAACTTTGACCATCCAGTCCAAAGCCCTGCTCAGGGCAGAGTGTCAGGTTCGGCCAGCACGGGGCTTCAGGGAAGCTCGCAGCCAGACCACGCGGAATCCACCGGCGGTAGCTAGCGGGGAAAAGAGGAAGTGAAAGCGCCACCAGTTAACGGGCCACCTGCGCCCAGCCAAACCGGAAAACCGCAGCGGAAGCTTTTAACTATAT